TGAAGATATGTGTATTAGGATGATACTTGTCAAGCAACATAAAATTTCAAAAAGGATGCTGCGAGTGGCAATGTCACAATGGGTACTTACTCTTTCGATCCATATAAGTGTAGGTATAGTATCGCGAAAATGGTGATTTTGCATGAGTAGTCTTTGTCTAAGATTGACCGTATTGGATTTTGAGAGTTCTTGCACAACCTGCAACCATTGTTTAAGGTTCATATTCGCAGTACTTTGAAGAGCGATGTTTTGAAAATCTATGAATACGAGAAAACAAAAAATATGATTACACTTGAGAAGATTGAGAGTTAAATTACAATTACATATGGACCTCTTTTAATCAATAGAAAGGATTCATGGTTATCATTGCTCATTTCATATATGATGCTTGGAAACTACAGAGTTGTATCATAAGGTACAATAAAAAAATTATAATTCATATGTTTTCATAATTTACCAAAATTATATTATTTTAGTTGATTTAATTTGTTATTGAATGAACTTAAGTTTATATATGTGTCATGCCCACACACTGCTGACACACTTTCAGAAACTCTATTATGTAGCTTACTGGACTAGAATATTGATAGTAAGTTACTAAATTTGATCGTAGTTAATTGCACCACAAATCATGTCGTCCCCTAGAGAATAAATTCAATTCAAATTTATTAATTTCATATGGAATTCGAATTATGTAAAATAAAATGGAGAATTTTTTATATATGCTAAATTAGTCGAAGAAAGCAATAAAAGTTTTGATTTTTAGCAAATTATAAATGACTGCATTGGATTTCAGCCCTGCCTATTGTTATATATTTCAATTCTTGATTTGTAATCTAGTTTCATTCATACTCTCTTGACAATCTATAAAGTTATAATATATAATCTTTTTTCCAAGACAAAATAAATCTATCCTAGCCACGACCCAAATATATTCCTAGTCCGAATTCGAATGGTTAGTACCCATTAATGTTTAGATTATTTACATAATTGCACACGTGATAAATGTTGTTCCTAACATCTATTGTATATGTGTTAGTTTTTCCGTATTCTAAACTTATTGTGAGTCTCCTAACACTATAACAAGCAACTAGTTATCTAATTGGTGGCCAATCAATTAAGTAATGCAATGTGTATGCAAAATCAATCAATAAACACAAGAATTATACTAAACTAGTTGTCTTAAATTAGAAATAAATAACAAATAGGGTTCATCTTCATCAAATACAAAAGCAAATTTAGCTTAGCATATAAATATATAAATTACACGAAGAATAATATAAAAATATCACCCAAATCATAAAAGAATCCAAAAGATGTTGATCTTCAAGTCCAAAATTGAATTCTTCAAAATTTTGATCTAATTGAACTTCAATTTATTACTAGGGCTTGATCTCCTCTCTTAAAATATATTAATTAGCCCCTTTGTTACTAATGAATTTGATTAAATTATTGTGTATGAAGGGGCAAGAGAGGTTTTTTTCATTGTTGCCCATGTCTGATATTTATATACGAAATTAGGTTAAAATTCACATCCAAATTGCCTTCTAAAAGAGTTTTAATCAACTAAGGAAAGTTGTCTTCACACGCATAATTTTGTCTCTACACACTTTTTTGTATTTTGGTTATAACTTTCTCTTTCGATATCCGATTAAGGTGATTCAAAGTGAATTGAAAAACTAATTCAAAGAGTAACAATTCTTCTAGAAATAAAGGTTTTCCAATTCGAATGTTTGCTATCTGAAAAATGAGTTTCAAATTGACTAAAAATTTAGAAGATATCTTATGTGATTGGAAGTCGATATATGATAATATTCTGATCATATCCAATTCCTTTTTTTAACTTCAATTTGCATTCAATTAATTCCTATCAATCTTCAAAGTATCTTTACCGGTCCAAATCAACCATTGGATATTTATATTTTGTTCTCCATACTTTGGGTTCTTTCTTTTTTGCTTCTTTAACGTTCATTTCTTCCAATTCCACAAATTTGTACTGAATTCAACCTAACAAACATAATTAAAATAATTAAGTTATAACTCATTCAAATCACTAACAAATGCTCCAATTTACTGGTCTGAATAATTGTACAAAATATACTTATCATATTCTTATTGGATAGCCACGCCAACGAAATCTAAAAATTTTGAGCTCTTTGCACGTAAATTGAAAATTGATTGTGAGAAAAATTAGTGTTTAATTGTAAAACAAGGTAGAATTCCATATACTTGATACTTCGTACTGCTTTGATTTATAAGGATGTTTTTACTCGTTTGATTTAGAGGGAGTTACAGTATAGATGTTTGCACAGTGATGGTGATTGGTATTTGACAAAAAAAATATGTGAGAAGTTAATTTTTTTTTTTTTTTAAAGATTACTGAATTGTTTTCAAGAACAAAATATCCAACTGCTAAACTCTTCTTTGCAAATATTTGTGATATAAAACTGTCGTTGTATGAGTGACTTGAATCTCCTTATGTGGAAGTTCAAATGATGGTGACCAGTATGATGGAAAAGTTTAACAAGTATTAGAGCGATATTCATGGAGTTTTGGCTTTAACAGTAGTGTTCGATTCAAGGTATAAGATAATGTTAGTTAAGTATTATTATCCTCGTATTTTTAATCACAACGCTGCAAGTGAGATCGAAAAGATTTATCAAGTTTGTAGCAGTTGGTGCACGATTATCAAAAAAAGAATGATTCAAGTGGGTCTGTAGCTCAGTCTTCTACTTCTTCTTGTCAAACTGAGACGTCAAGTGCTAATAATAAATTAAATCGCATGGTGGATTTTTATAGATTTGTTTCCAATGTTGAAGTTCCTAGCAATGTGAAAACTAAGCTTGATACTTTCTTGGATGAGCCTATATTGCCTCGATCAGATGATTTTGGTATATTGATATGGTGGAAAGTAAATGCAATCAAATATCTGACTTTATTTCAAATTGCAAAAGATATTTTGGCCATCCAGGTAATTACAATGGCGTCTGAATCTGCCTTCACTACTAGTGGTAGATTGTTACTTACAGAAGTAGACTTCACCTCAAAACTTTGGAGGCTTTAATTTGGTTATGGGCCGATATTTGTAGTACGATGCATATAAACACTTGCTTTTCATATTGTTCCTTTTGTGAACATTCGTATTACTAATTATCTTACTTTATTAATGGCGTATTCTGCGCTGTCCTCATATTTTAGATGTTGCTTTAAGATGAATGATCAGGATGTTGATGATGAGATAATTTTTATTTATCAAATAATGTAAAATTTAATCATAGTTATTATGATGATACTGAGAATAATATTTGTTTCGTTTTTCAAGATCCATCTTTTGTATTCTTTATCTAGGCTGATGAATATTTAGGAAGATGGAAAAATATCAAATTTTGGATAAAGAAATGAAATTTAGTTACAATATAATTATATTTGCAATTGGTTATTTTAAGAAAAACTTTGTTTCGAGTATTTACTTTGGATATTGACGTTGTTCAGTCTAAGCATTATTTGCTTTGAATTTAAAATTTTGAATTTGTATTTTATTATCTAATAATAGCATAACTTGAAAATTTGAAAATGTAAAAATTAAAAAAAAAAAAAATAGCGGTGGCAAACCACCTCTCCCCGCCTTACGAGACAGGGTTTGCAGCCCCGCCTCAAACCCAACCATTGCCATTCCTAGCCAAAATATGCTACTTCTGGAATGTCTTTTGAAAATTCAATTTTGTACGTTAAGTCAGAACAATAATTGAATAAGATATGAAGGTAATTATCTTGCAACTTATTTTGTATTTGAAAGGTTTATTGGTTCCTAGAAACAATAATATTTGACTTTAAGGGTTCACTTGATTAGTGTTTCAATTTTCTATTTTGAGTTTTGACTTCATTTTTAATTTTCTATTTTCAAGGTTTGTTCTAAAATTGTTGAAACGTGTTTAGTTTGTTATATTGAAAAATTATTTCTCCAAAGAGAAGACTAGAAAATATAATTGGCTTGAAATTTTGAAACCATGAAATTTGATTATTCAACAAAAAAAAAAGATTTTCTGTTAATATATTGTTAATCAATATATACATTTTAAAGTTGATCAATCTTACAATATTTTATTTCTTTACAGAAGTAAAACAAATAATAAATAATAAATTGAGTTCAAAATATAGAAACTAAAAATAAAAATCAATGACATGGGATGAGAATATTTTTTCTGTGCTCTATTAAATATTCTTTTAGAATTTTTATGTAAAAAATCATTAATAATTTGAAATGTTTTATTTTTTATAGTTCATAATTTTATTTTTCTAGAATTCTCTATAATTTAATTTTTTTTATTTTATGGAAATTTATTTTCTTAGAATTTTAGATTTTATTTTTAAAAAAATTTATTTTTTTATTTTTCAAATTTTTCAAATTTATTTTTTGGACTTATTTTTCTTGAATTTTATTTTTTCTAATCTTAAAGTTTTATTCGTTAAAATTTTATATTTTCATTTTTTAAAATTTATTTAAATTAAATTTTATTTAAACGCTTATTTGATAATACTCAAAACATCAAAAATACATTTTAAGTTTTATATTATAAATTTATCCTCGTTTTGGAAAATGCAATTTCTAAGATACTCGAGACATCTAAAATACATTTCGAGTTTTATGTTATAGGTTTATCCTCATCTTCAAAAATGCAATATCTAAAATTTCCAAAATACTCAAAATTCCAAAAATACATTTTGAGTTTTATGTTATGGATTTATCCTCATTTTCAAAAATACAATTTCTAAAATACCTGTAAATTGAAAACTACAAACAACTTGAAAACAACAAACTAAATGCACCCTAAAAAATAAACTCTACCTCATTTCGTACTATAATTTTTCACTTTTCATTCAATTTAGAAAGACACTTCCTGCGTTTCCCACAGTACATGGATGTATCAATGTGTACTGCAGTCATTGCGTGTACATGAACCGAAGAATTTGGGTTTGAAATTATAGAGCTACCAGGCAAGTTTAGCCAAAGGAAGGAAATAATAGCACTCACATTAAGAGCAGCACTTGTCCAAGTGAGCATTGAGAGTCGAAATCCACTCGAGGATCCTATCAAAGAACGCTTAAAAACTTAATTACTAAATGGTATGTACAATAGCAAACCCAAGTACTAGTAATGTCATTTCTAAGCACTCTACAGAACTGTGAAACTCATTTTCGAAAAGCTGGTATATGCAAATGTTAACGCAATAATGCATCAAAACAAACACATGGGTGATCCACCACTCTTCTATGCTGTACAAGGCCTCTTTCGTAACACAATGATAGCTTTTCACGAAGCCTGAGAGGCGATTTGATTAGAATCTTCATCTTCAGCTATCATCCACGGTTGTTTTGGACCCTAATTAAGAAGAAAATGAGGAAGTCACATATGGATATGCCTGTATAACCGAGATTTACTGTTCAACTGACAACATTAAGATAAAATTCATTCAAGCATTACACGTCGAAGAGAAACAATTTATTCAGAGACAATTGCAAAACTTGGTAAATCTCACCAACCAACCAGATATTTGAATACATGATTCATTGAAGATGAGGTAATAATCACATATCTTATGATTTTAACATAATTAATTTGACTAGCACAAATGTTGCCTAACATGAAGAATTGTCAAAGTGGCTTCTTACCTCCCAAACAGATCCTTCTACATCTATATATAAATGCTGGTTTATGCAGAATACACAAGAAAAGCACATCAAATTGTTGATTAATCATCACAGATGGCTTAGAAACAATCTTTCATTATTTAATGGATCTTTCCGTTTTAACACTCTATGAGCGCCAAAATGGTTTTTGTTGACAGAAGAAAGATTCTCTTTCATTTTATAGGATGCAAAATAAGCACATTTAGCAAGATCCCCTGATATTTCAGCTACCGTTGAAGGAAGAACGGATGTGATTGCTCAGAGAGCAAATGGGATTAGATACCCCAATAGTCCTACAGTCATGAACAATGGATACGAGGCACTGCGTATATCGACCTGTGCAGTGCTAATTCCTCAACCCTGAAACCATCTTCCTTTTATTTCACAGGTACTCGTGTTTTTCAAGGTTAAAAAGGACACGCCGGTACAATAAAATTCAGCCTCTACTTCCTCGAGTTCTAGATAGTTTATAGCAATTTTGTATTTTACCTTCCCTTGTCGTATAGTTCGAGGAGAATTTCCAGTCATGTCCACTACTGTAGATGGATCAGCCACTCTAATACCAGCATCGACAACAAAGTCAAGGCCCTAGAAAAACAGAGAAACTCATGAGCACCATTATATGACACAAAGAACCAGATAAGAGCTTTGGTTCACACCTAAGGCACTTTCTAATACTGCGGAAATGCAGGAGCTCAAGGATGACTGGGAAAAAATAGTTAAGCAGATGCAAAAGTTAGATTTGGACACTTGCAGAGCAATTTGTAATCTTGTGGAGTAACAGGAGTTGAAAAAGTCCAAATGCAGATAACGACTTCACAAGTACAATGAAACAATCAACTTTCACAAGACATGAGCAAATCACTAAAACTAGTTCAGAACATTCAATGTTATATCAGAGTAGTGCAACCTTATAGGTCTGATTAAGTCTTCAGAAAAAAACTACTACAAGTTGCTAGAGTTACCAACAAGAATACATCTTAAACACAGAATGAAGATGCCATAAAAAATAGAAAATGGACAAGCACTCTGCATACAGATCGACTCATTTGAGGTTGCTGGAAACAGAGACAATAGATGAATATCTACATTTAATGCATTCAGATCTAACTATTTCCAAATGCAACAAAGTGAACAAACAAAGCAAGGTAAAATTTACAGATCCAGTCAAGCGTTATAAGAAATAGCAATACCTCTGGGCCATATACATCAGCAATCACAACAGGATCTAAAATCCATTCATTCTCCTTAGGTGACTTGACACTAAGGAACAATATATATAAATAGTGTAAGCATAATCATAAATGTTAAAAAGAAAGTGAAACTGTGTGAAGTATCTGGCTTTACGGCCTACCTTGTGGATATTAAAGGCGCGTCCATCTTCTCCAGAATTGCTTGGCACACAGCATCATCAGGTATACGAACGCCCACATTTTTTCTTGGTGCATACTTGGAAGTTGTAGTCCCATATCTGGTACATTGTTTTGGCAGCTCTTTGCTTGCAGTCAAAATGAAAGTATACTACATAAACCAACCTTCATTTAGACATATTAAAAATATATCAACAATATTGTAGAGCAACACTAGCAAGATATGAACAATGAGGCCAAAAGCACATCTTTTGTCCTTAAATTACTTACAGGACCCGGCAGGCAATGTTTAACAGCTCGAAAAATGTTTGTAAGACCTGAACTGTTGCCACGAGGAAATCCGGTTGTGTATGTATCAATATCCTTGAAAGAGCGGCATAAGATGCTGAGAGGCTGAAAAATTTACCCAAAAATAAATAAATAAATAAAGAATCAGAATACATGTACCAATAACAATATTAAACACTGTTTGTCAACAAAATGCATGGAATGTCTACTCAAAAAGGCAAAAAGAAATATCAAACCAATACTTCATTAAGCGACTTGTTTGGTGCCATGCAGCATGTTTAGTTTAGGAACCAGATGGAAATAATTAAACCTGCCTTTGAAGGGTCTATATTTTTTATTCTGCAATGTACAGAGAACACTTATCATCTCAATGAAACTTAAAGCAACACCTTAAAAATCAAGAACTTGAGCTGGGAAAAAAGTTATCTACCTACGCAAACGATCAATAGCTGAGTGGCTTCTCAGATCACAAGCTATTGCGTACCTATAATCAAAGTAAAAATGTTGAATTAACAAGTTTTTCTATTCTTGGCACATAAGAACCAAACAGGTCTGTGAATGACATGCTTACTTGTATATACAACATAAATAGCTAAATTTAGCCAAGTCTACAAAGATCTATTAAACAGGAAGGATGTAAACTTTCTGTAAACTCCTAGTGATCTAAGTTGCAAATCCTAATATACCAGTATAAGAATAATTTTAATCTAAAGAAAAATATACAAACCTACACTATTAGTAGGTTTCATCAATTTCCCCTTCTAGTTTCATAGCATGAATTCAGAACTGTTAAGCATTCAAAAAATTCTTTTGGCTATTTCATGCTTTGAAATCTATTAGCACGCATAGAGAAAGCCCAAGAGGAAAAAGTTTCAATACCAAGATTAAGAGGTCTCAAATTTATCCACCCTTATTATTTTCCTCATCGTCTTGTGTATTTATTGTTCCAAATTATGTTGATATACACCATAATTTTGTAACAACGATGAAAACAACACTGACAAAGCCTTATTCCAATAAATTTGATGTCTACTACATAAATCAGTCTCTTGCTTAATCACTATAAAACAAATAAACTACCACCATACGAGAAAAATCACAAAAGTCAGCAAAAGCAACTCAATTGGTTTTTCGTGCAGACTAATCTCAGTAAATTTATAAAAAACTGAAAAGTATAATCACATTTCACCAGCATCCCGATCAAAAGTTTAAATTCATCCCGCAAACTAACTATTAAAAAACTAAAATAACGAAAAGTAACATACACTGTGTCAGTAGGAATAACTCCAACAGCTCCTTCCTTCAAAAGTTCAACAATCGGGTCCAATTTCCATGCGTCGGAACCAAACGGATCAACATCAACATAAAGCAAGCCATCATCCTGTGAGAAAAGGGCAAAAAAAAAAAAAAAAAAAAAAACACCATTTTCGGGCAAAAAAAAAAAAAAAAAAAAACTCCATATTCACCTCGTGTATGCGTTGAAAAGGTCAATTTAAATGAATTCAAAAACCTCCCTAAAATCTTAAAATTTTAGACGGTATGGTTTAATACAGTATCCAAGCAAGATAAGAGTAAACAAAAATGTGCAGGAGAAATGAATTTGATCTGCGTCTGGTCGTGTAGAGAGAGAAAAGACCTTGGTGAAGCGAGGGGCAGAGTATTTTAGGCGTTTGGGGCTCCTCTTGACAACAGCTAGAGTAAAGAATCGACGAGCGAGCTGCGAAGGAGGTTGCATATTCTGGAAAGAGATGCCGCATGGGAATGGACTCAATGACCGCCTGAATGACAAAGGCAGTACGGCTGAGCCACCGCAACGTTTCACTTCCACCGCCATTCTTCAAAACTTGAATGGAATCAGAAGCTCGAGAGAGAGATTTCTGGAATGTCTGGAAAGAGGCATATCCCTGGCTCCTTATTCTCCTCCAATTTAATAGATGCGGGCCGGGCCGGGCCGGTTCGGTCCCGTCCAGTCAGGCGAAATTTTCTGTACTACTAGGAAAAGAGAAGTGTTACGTGTACATAATAGTGTATATAATTACACCTGACACAGGATTCAACCTTTAATTAAAATTTCACACTTGCACATCAACAATCGAATAATTGTCACGTCACATTATGGATACCATTATGTGCAATAATTATGTACAAGTAGAATATCCGATGAGGAAAATACACAACTACAACATTATAAAAACAATCCAATTATGGTGCCCTAACCGGTTGACATGCGGCTTGACAGGGTGAGGTGGCCTTTTCTTTTTAAATTCAAAAAAAAAATAAAAATACCCCATGCAATTTGAAAATACTGTGAGTTAATCAGCCCAAAACATATAATCCGTTTCACCCTCAAATAACCCTATTCAACTCAAAATTTTCCTTCATATTGCAGAACCCATAGACTCCTCTGCGGCGCTACTCATTCTGACTTCTCCAACTACGACAGAGAGGACGTCTACTGCAACGGAATGCACGTTGTTGAAATATTCGACCTTTCATTTATGTGACATTCCTTCGATTTTCGTTGATTCGTAGACGTCACAACAGATCTTCTCCAACTAGATCTGCAAAAATTCAGGTATATATATATACCTAAAAGTCAAAGTCAGACTAGATCCAATCACAAATATTACAGCTTCGAAGGTGGAATTGTAAGATGTTTGGACGAAATTTGTGTTGGCCATGGACGTGGGTTTTGAAATTTTGATTGTGCAAGGTTTACATAATTTTGTGTTGTTTTTCTGGGACATGGTTTTTAAATCCATGCTTTGACAAAGACCCGTACCCATTTCATGATATGTTCATGTTGTTGCAAATCTTGTTCTTGCTGGGTGTGAAAAGTTACTTGATAATAAATAAGTTTTTAAAGTGAATTGTAATATATTGGTGAAAATTTAAAATTAGTAGTGTGAAAAAAAAAAACAAATGAAACATGTTTGGAGAGAATTAGTTCGGGAATTGTTTTATATGCTGTTGGTATGAATTGTTTTTAAGGTGAATTGTTTTATATGCTGCTTGCATGCCAACCAGTGTTAGCTATAAGATAGGTGCAAACCCTTAATATTGTGTTCAAACTATGTTAAAAGCAAAGTATGATGGAATAAATCAATGTAGAATTGATATTTACCTTAGAAATGCCAAGCTTGGAAGCATAGTTACTGAATCTGGGCTGAGAGATTGAGCCTATTTTTGGTTGATATTCATTAACAGTTTATTGTCGATAAAATCAAATTTTATACACACATTTTGTGAAACTCACAAGTAATAAAAGTATTCATCAATCAAGTTTAGGTTTTTTTTATGACTTTTGCTTTGAATTCAGAAGAATGGTACATGAGTCCTTTGCTTGTATTGTGAGGTTTGTCATTTGTTTATATATATGTTGTGCTCATTATCTTGTTTGGTCTTTGATTCCTAGCTTACAATGAGAGGAAAGAATCATGGAGTCTGTCACAGCTGTAAACTAAAAGTGCATTCTTTTGCGGAATGCTTGAATAAACGCCCCTGCCCATGGTGTAAACATGCTTTTCTGAAGTGCATTGAGGTGGAGAAGAACACTAAGAACAAAGGTAGACCATTCAATACGTGCAGCGTGAAATGTGATTTTTTGGAGTAGGTTAGTGAGGAGGAAACGAGTGGTGAATCAACATCTGTTACTAGTACTCAAGTTTTGTCTTGCATGTTCGAAGCTCGATGTCGGTAAACTGATGAACAAGACACGGAGATTTCCATGAATGTAACTGTACGCAAAGAAAGAGCACGTAACTAAAGGAGATAAGATTGGAAATGGGCCAGCTTGAGTTGTAGTTTCCTTTAAATGAAGTTGTAATTTCAGTTGTGTAAATATATGTTTCCTTGAAATGAATGTTATCTTTAATGCTAGTGAACTTTTGAATCTAACTTCAGTTGTCAATATACATGAACAATAGCATATAGGTTAGATGGGGAAAACCATATCTTTGGTTTGCGTATCATAGGATACAATTCAAAAAGAAAAGCATAATTCATACACGCTCATCCTTTTCTTTTTTTCTCCTTTGTTCCCATAAATATTAAAGTGTTCAGGGTCTCTTAATATAACTTACTTTTAGAGATCTACTATGAGCATTTTCAAAGGGTATTCACAACAAATGAAATAGATACAAATAATTTATGTTGCCAACTCCAACTTTATTAAGATAAAACTTTGTTTATATAATTTATGCTGCCAACTCCAACTTTATTAAGAATAAAACTTGGTTTCTTGGTACAGCCACAACAAGATACTAAACAAAATCCTCTAGCAACATTGGTCTTAAACTAGATTTCTTTAGCCATCAAACAGTGGAAGAACAAAATCATACCCAGCTAATTGAGAGGCAAAATCACACCCAACATTAGCTAAATATGCTACTCGAAGCGTTAGAACTGTACTCTTCATTGTTCGAACTTCCATCCTGAATTAAGACTAATTAGTCTTGGGACTTCCATTCTGTTCTAGACTTGGGAAAAATTATGCAAATCTTCGACCACCATGCATTCTAACTGTTGTGTTTCACTGCCAGCAGCTTCATGCAAATGTTGTCCACCCAAACCAATGGAAAATCAAATACGGTCCCATTTTAATCTAATCCCAAAAACGTTGAAAAATAATGACAAACATTTTTCTTTTTGTAGTTGCTTTACCGCCAGCAGCTTCATGCAAATGTTGTCCACCCAAACCAATGGAAAATCAAATACAGTCCCATTTTAATCTAATCCCAAAAACGTTGAAAAATAATGACAAACATTTTTCTTTTTGTAGTTGCTTTACCTTGACTATTGAATATAACACTTGCTGAAGATGGAGGGACGATACATGTGGATTGTTGATGTTGTGTGAATTGAAGATTTTGGTTGCCACCCTACACGAAATAACATTATCAGTAAATCATATAATTTCGATGAAAGTAAATCATCTATGAACCATAAAGAGCAGTGGATATGATAATAGTATTAGCATATGTGCTTGTTGTGGTAACCAGATGACAGTTACAACATCTCTCATATTACTTGTGCGAACCTTCGGTCTCTTCCCTTTGGTTGAACTCAAAGTTGCCTATAAAACATCAAAATGTTATTAAACATTATGTGTATAAGGACTTTACGACCTTTGGATACAAAAAATTGGGAATTACTTTACTATGTTCAAACTTGATTCCAATAGGCTTTTCTTGCGAAGTTTCCTAGGCGCACATTTTCTCTTCACACATATTGGATCCTATATGCTGCCACTTCTAGTATCTTGTGATGCTCCACTTTCTGAGGCTATCTGATTGTTATTCGAGGACATGACATTACTCCCACAAATAGACTTCGACTTCGTCATCTATTTACACTGAGTGTCGATCCAATCAATTATAGAATCATATTTGACTTTATACGCAATCATGTTTTCCAGTGTTACAAAATGTTGACACATTTTATCGTACTTCAACTGTCCATGAGTACTAACCAAACTATCACAGTTTACTGCGACCCTCGTGTGGATTCTACTCACATCTCGTCACCATCTTCGTAATATGTATATATTCGGTATTGATTTCACATCATTACGGATCAATACTGTGATCACATGTCGACAAATAATCCCTTGAAACTTGAAAAAGTGACAATTGCAAGTAATTTCACATTTTTCTCTTTGAAATGAGACAAAACGTTTTTTCTTAGAACGCTCATTCATGTATTATGTCCTCTTGCACCTCGTAAGTTTTTCTCGAACATCCCTCGGAGGCAAATATGAGATCGTAATAAAGCTTGCATATGAACTCCTCTTGAATTTCCCTGAATTTCGAAATTGTATAAACTAGCTGAAATTACTTTTTCCATTTCATACCTCATTGCACACGGTAACATTTGCGAGTAAGACTTGAAATTTGCTTGGAACTCTTTCTCAACCTTATTTCTCAATGCTCATTCATATTGTTCAACAAATTGCTTCAACATCATCTTCAAATGCACATGACCATCAAAGAATGCATTCACACTCTCACTGTATTGAGTTATTGATATCCCTGCCCAAATTGTGGTTTTCCAACAGCAAGGTACCCAACATTCCCCATTCTCATATAGACCCGTCAACCAGTCATTATCATACAAATTATATGTTTCGATGATCACTCTCCATCCGTTTTCGAATTTTTCTATAAATTGACAATTATAGACCAAACTGTGAATGTAGCAAACATTAAACCCTTTATCCACGTGATATCCAAACTTTTCTGGCAACTTCTTCAATATGTGTCACAGACACTATCTATGCTTTGTATTGGGGAATACGATCTGAACTATATTTTGCATAGCCCTGTCTTGATCTATTATTATCACATGGGGAGCTTGTCCATGCATGCATTGCATCCATATCCAAAATAGCCACACAAACGTATCTGTATCCTTGTTCGATACTAGACCACATCCAAGTAGTGTCAATTGTCCATCATGATTCACTCTAATAAAAGGGGCAAATGGCATGTCATATTTTATTAGTGAGGTATGTGGTGTCGAAGGTGACAACATCATTAAACTCATTATATGCTTGCCTACTCCTATTATCTGCCCAAAACACATTTTTAACCGCAACTCTTCATTTAAATCTATATTAAAGTAAAAGCCCGAGCATCGTGGTTTCATTTTAGAAAAGTATGATTGTATCACTGCTGCGTCTCCTTCTCCAAGTCTTAAACGCCTACCTTTTTCAACATAGTTTCGACAATCCTTTTCTATACAGGTCATATTCTCATATCTACCCGCTTCAACAACTATAGAGATATAACTTTTGTGCAACGAAATTCCAACTGTCATTTACTTCAAGTCGTCGTTTCACACGTCCACTCAATTCTCAGTTACATCTATATAACCTGGACTTCGAAGGGCTTGTTTTATGATTTTGGTTAAGGTGTACTGTGTTGATTCTCCATATACCGCAAATATTTAAACATCTAGTTATCTTGACTTTACATCTACTCTGAATCTTGTTGCAGCTTCAAAAAACCACTCATATTTTTTATTCTTTTCTCTTCACGACTACAAATAAATGTAATATATCTCAATACCTTTTTCGAATTTCTTTTTCTAATAGGGAAACCAATGTTGTGTGCACATATTTTGTAAAACTCAAAATTTCATTTTCATCCTTAAATTTCATACGCACCTCAGGCACAATTGCACCATTTTCGACTAACATATCATCACCCAGCATGTTCGTATTATCCATAACATTCTCATTATCGAAATTCACCAAAATAATGTCATCCATATAGTCCACAATTTTTTTCCTGAAACAAAAAAAAATAAATTACATTGTTGAAAGAAGCATAATAACAATATAATTTATAAAACTATATTTAACGTTTTCCGTACAAAGATAATAACAAAATTCTATTACAGAAATACTTAAATGAAAATTCTAAATAGGCTTAGTACTGTTATGCAGTAATTGCAGCTGAAAAAAAAAACCAAAAAACCTCACTGATCACACATCAAAGCCCCAAGATCAACAACTGACTACTCGGATGAAAATGTATGAGGTATATGAAGATGTTCAAATCCGTCGCAGCTGAAACCTCCCAACTGATCACAAATAAAGCCCCAAAATCAACAACTCACTACTTGGATGGAAAATGAGGAAGAATCGCATATATACAAGGTATATGAAAATATTCCAATTGTTTTGGGTTAATGAAAATGCTCGAGAATCATAAAGTTAAGATTATGGTAAAACAGTACTAAGACCATGGAAAATGCCAAATCATTATTTATGACAAAAAAATAAAACAATGCAAACCAATACCTTTTACAATCATCTTCTCGAACAAGCGAAGCTAGGAACAGGTGGATGTGTAGCCAAAAGTCGATGGCAGCTTCCCCTATTTTCGATGTCGTCGAGAATGAGATAAAAAAATAAAGACAGAAAGAGATGCAGCTGTAGGCGTGGAATTCACGCCAAAAGGATAAAGGAAAAATGGAAATTGGGCATTGCTCGCCTAATAAGAAATAAATGGGTGCCCGAACTGGTTTTGACCCGAATTTGAAGTCATTCAAATTACTTTCCATTTTCCTTTTTCTTTTTAGCCCCATTTTCCACATCATTCGGTCACCGCTTCAGTCAACCCCTATGTTTGAATAGCACAATTCTTATAAAAATAGTATTTCATAATGAACAATCTTGAAAAATATTTTCAAAATTCAAGTGATAA